GAAGTTCGGATCCATAGATACAGCAAAGTCAGAGTTTCATTTTAAGAGAGTCCCTGATGTTATAGCGTTCTTTTCTAAGTCGTCTTTGGAAAACTTGCTGGAATACCTGGTGAAAGGATTAATTGTCTTACTAATTAGTGTCACAGTGAGATTCATCTGACTTCATGTTACCAGTGATTGTATTGTTTGAGTAACATTGTTACAAACTAATGTTCAGAATAAATGTGATAATATTCTCACAGTGACATTAGGCCTTGAGGATACTTAAGTGAAAAGGTCTACACATGCTTCTTTGAGTTCTGCTCTGCAACTCAAATACATGTTAGCTTTCAGATGGTGTAACTCCTGTGACTCTGGAGGCTTCCCTGAGTATAGTTAGGAACCCACACAAGGAGTAAACTATACCTTGCTGTGACTCTGCTCACCACAATATATGACCTTCCAGTTTTGGTCTAGAGAAATGGTACTGTCCACATGTGATACATTTCCTCCATAATATCCTCCAGCCTCCTGGGCTCATGTTTGCACTTTCCTCTTGTTGAAATTGCAGACAAGAATCACTCTGATTTATTGGTGACATCTAATATAGCTGTGTTTATATTGTTGCCAATAAAATGACTTACATGATTGGTTTTTGTTTATACAATCTTTACTGAGGAGTCAGTCACCTGTGTTAGAACAAGGTACATTCTGCTTATTGAAATGAACTCTTGGGATATAAGAACCTTCAGCTCTGTCTGTCCTTGATTAAATTGCAAAATGTGCTTCACACTGAAGCCATGCATGAGAATACTTATATTATCCATCAATAGGTTTTTCATTTCTATATTATTCTGGCTACAAAAGCTGTAACAGGAAAAACCCAGAAGAATAGAATGGGCCTATTAAACGATAAAGGCAGTGAGGTTGAAATGACAGAGCTTAATGAAATTATACAATCATTAACCCAAAAAAGGGAAAATGAAAAGACTAGCATGTCATAGATGGCTTAGACACATATAAACACACACATGCGCACACACATGCATACACACACAAACTTGAGTGTACACATGCACACACAAGTACGTGGGGTGAGCACATGTCATAAATGTGAGCACACATACATGTAAATATGATCATATCCAGGGTCAGTTTGCTCCCTGACCAGTATGCTGTGCTTTGTTAACAGGATTTTTTTGTTTGTTTGGGATAAAAAATGCTTTCAGCATAAGGAGTGGAAAATATAACAAAGGCTAAATCTAGCCTAAGGAAATGAAATGATGTATGAAAATTAATAATTAACTGGCTCATCAGATGAATTATGACTCTAGATGAGTCTATTAATGATATTTACTAAGAAAGGGCCTTTGGCCGTAATTAGGTACTATGGAAGTTGTTTCTGGAATTTTCTTAAATGGATGAGTGGACATTGTTTCATTTGTTTAATCTCTCTTAGTGTATAAGGAACAGTGCCTGGAGCCCTGGGGAGAAGGTGGAATCAGGATTTTATATTTTGATCAAAGTTAACACTTTCCCAGAAAATGAGTGGCATTATGAAATGGTTTTCTACCTTAGTTTCCTTGGAGGTTAAATCATTTCCTCTCTGACCTGAATTATAGGAGTGTGTTTTAAGAGTTTGAAAGTGGTCAAAAGGAAAGATTTAGTAACTCATTAGCAAATTGAACATTTTCATTGTGAGAACCAATGGGGCATAAAAATCTAAATATGGCAGAACATCAGATATGAACCACTTGAAGTTTATATTTCTGAATGCTCTTTGCCTTTTCCTTTAAAAATTATTTTTCACTTTTTGTTGGTAGTCTTGAGTAGAATATTTGGTCATAAGACAATAGGAAAAGCCTGTGAAAGTTTTTAAATAAAAAAAGGGAACTAGAGAGAAGGCTCAGTGGTTAAGAGCACTGGTACTTCTGAGAAGACCCAGGTTCAGGTCCCAGCACCCATATGACCCACAGCTGTCTGTAACTCAGTTTCAGAGAATCTGACACACTCTTCTGTGCTCTGTGGCCACCAGTCAGGTGCATGGTGCAAGTACAACATGAAAACATATAAAATATAAATAAATACATCTTTGTCGAAAAGAGGTCCATTCCGAGGAATGTTCCTGGTTAGGTTTAGGATACTATAGCTGTGGTTTTATCTTCTTATAATATTCATTTAATGCTTTGTTCCTTTTTTCCTGGTTAGTGCTGTCTTTGTGTGTGATGTTAAGGGAGGGCCCTCTGCCCACCATTGTCTTCTCCCACGAATCCATTGTTTCTTGAGTTGTGTTGGTAGAGGCCACTGCTTTTGCTTCTATAGCTACAATGTTCCTCTAGATTTAATTGCTAAAAAATGGATTCTTCATATCAGTTTGTTATTACAGTAAATGAGCGTTTTAAAATAATCCTTATTTGCTGTAGTAACCCAGAATGTCAAGAGACCACATTGATTATGGTCAGGCTTTTGTGGATGGAGAACTGTTAGTTTATGAAGCTTGTGACTTACCAGAGCAGGCCTCAGCATTTTGACTTCTCCAGTGTTCCTCACTGATGCTTTAGCCTGAGTCTTACCTAAAGCTGAGTGGTTTACTCCTCCTTTATTACCCTGTGGTCTTGACATGATACTGTGATCAACGGCTTAGTGCAGAAGTATATAAAATATCACACTGTGAGTAAACAAAGTTGATTTCTATGTACTAGTATCTAATGCTCGAAAATCTATTGATATAATTCACGTGAAAACTGGAATTGTAGGCGTATTTCCCACGTGGTTTGCTTCTTTTCTTCCATTTCATGGGTGTTTTGTGTTAACATAGAAATGGTGTTCACTTCATTTTTCTGGCTGCTTCTTTGTCTTTTAAGTATATTCTTTTTCTTCTTTAAGCCTAAGGCTGCTTCAAATACAGATGCAATTTATAACAAATAAAGCAAAATAAATATTCATGTAGTACATGGAGGTGTGAGTGCCTGATGCTTAATTATGCTCTTAGCTTTTCGAATTTCCTTCTTGTCAACTCTTCTTAATGACGGAGTCTAATGTTGGAATACTTAGTGATGCGTTTTTGATCCAGATTTTGATGACAACTGCTTGTATATGATGCTGGTGTAAAAGTGACTCTTTTCTAACAAAACAAAACAGAAATGACCACAGTCAACAAATCTGCTGACACTTGCCACTTGGATGTGGTTTAAGTGACTCCAGTCATTTTGGACTATTCTTCAGTTTCAAAAAACTGCCAGTATGGCATAATTATTTGCTTTCTTTTTTTTTTAACCTTTTGATGGGTAATGAATAGATGCTTCCTACAAAAGTTCAGACTGCTCAGAAACCACTATTTCATGAATGAGTGGCGAATGGATGATGGTTTCAACTCTTGCTCCAGATCAATAGAGGAAGAGATTGACCAGCTCCACACACATACAGTTGACAATGTGCAGGGAGTTTTCCATTGTCAAAGAAGAGCAGACTTAGAGCCAGTTTGATAGCAGGCTCTTCTTTGTGTATCGTAAAGGAACTCCACTCATGCAGGTTTGGTTACTTACTTTTCTGTGGGACCTGCAGTGGTGGGAGAGTGAGGAGGGGGGTTGCTATATGCCAGAGAGAGTTCTCAGTGATTTTTCAGCAAAATAAAGAAATAAAGAGTGCATTTCAAACTTTGTATTTAAAGGACAAAGAGTCTCAGTATAGGCACCAGTGGCAACTTTTATAGAAATCATAGTAAGCAATGAAGTATTTTTTTATTTCCTAAACTGATGAAAGAAACAGTTTCCTTGAAAACATTTTATTTCGTTGGTAGCCTTCCTATGATGATTGGTGCAGTCATTTCTGTAGGAGTTGAGTTGAGCATATCTGTTCGGGACCCCAAGTGAATCAAACATACAGCAGGAAGATTCCCAAGACTCATCCGATTGAGGATGTGTGGATGTTACTCCTATACTCTCAGTCTTCATTTTCTGTGTTTGTTCAGCTGTGGCTGCTTCCCATGACTATCTTGTCTCTATAAAAGACAGATTTATGGATGTTTCAGACATCGTAGGGACAGCACCTTGACACCTGGCCACCTCCTTGCAGCTATACCATAGAGTAACCTATTAGTGAGGGAAGAGCCTTCCTTAGTGATTTTGAACCAGGGAGCATTGATGTCACCACATAGAAGTAGTAGAGAATGACGTTCTGTGGAATGTCAGTACATTTTTTTTCCAGCTCCCATTGGCGGGTCTCCAACAGTATGGTATATATGACAACATAGCAGGACTTCTTGTGAACATACTGTGTGTCCTACCTTTAAGAGTTCCCTTCTCTTGTGCTTTCCAGGAGGTGTTGTTTATAGCGTTCTCCTTTCCCAGACGCTCACATAGAAGGCAGAGTATTGTGGCATTGATCTGTTTCTATTCCCATAACTCAGGATCAATATGGATCTAAGGCCCTGCTGCTGCTGAAATTATTCAAAAATAAGGTTATATGAAAAGTAATATTCCCATGCCTAGAGTTTTGCAAATCTGGGCACTATGAAAATGTTCCTCTTAGAAGGAACATCATGTTTGCTTTGCAATTGTTCACTGGGAACTTCAAAAGTTCAGTCTCACAGCTCAGAGGGTGGTTCTCTGAGTTTCCAAAGGCACACTGCAGTGAACATGAAGAGTATGGACAGATCCCTTCGGAAACAGAGTAGGTTTCATTTGCAAACAGTCATCAGTGGACTGGTGGTTCCTGCCAAGAGCACCATATTGAGAAAGGCAGAGATCAATGCAGTGATCCATTATCTAAGCCTCCCATGAATGCAGAAGCAAAGAGTCCTTGCCAAGGAGCCGTGTGTTTTATGATCTTGTTCTACACAAGAAGCCAGTTTGCCAGCTGTTGTTTCTTTCTGTCCCAGGATAAATGCTATACAAGTTGAAAAATTACTGTATCCTATTTTCAAATTTTACCATTTCCAATGCCTTCATTTGTTTTTGTTTTAAACAGACTTATCACCTATCCTATGGATGAGTTACTTGCCTTGCCTTGAAAAAATCAATAGTGCCATTGGATATTGATCAGCGTGGTCTCAGGGCTTTCAGAATGAATGGAAGGTCATGTGGCATGAATCTCCACCGGACATCAAGAACCCCACAGGGGCCTGGGCTACTCGGCAGTCAACATATCCCTCCCATCAGAGCCCACTCAGGCACTCCCTGTCCCTCTTCCTGTGCCAGCACACCGAGCCCCACCATTGGAAGTCTTGGTAATAGTCTTCACCTCAAGATGTCCTCTGGAGCAGGGATGGCTCCTCAGAGCAACATGGCCACGAGCCCCATCCATCTGCCTGCCCTGAGCCCCAGGAGACAATTATTGGCCAATGGAAAGCCTCAGTTCCAGGCTGGTGTCATGGCAGCATCGCATATTATAAAACCCAAACAGCAAGAATTTGGAGACCCCTTCTCTCCAAATCCTGAGAAAGGTAGGATTGTCACTTTGGAATCTCTTCCAAATGGGAACGTTTCATCTGCTTCATGTCTGCTGACTGCCAGTGAGTTCTATAGAAAATACATGTAATTCAGTATTAGGGTCAAGGTTCACGGTCTCGTGCATGGGAAGGACGCGTACTTTTGAATGTGTGTGTAAGTGATAGGTACAAGTGAGTGGTGCCTCGGAATTGAAGCAGAGTGGAAGGTGAAGCAGATCACCTTAGAAGGGAAATAGGGAGGAGGGAGATGACTGATGGGCAGGAGCTGGGTGCAAAGTCTGTCTTCTGCATACATGTGTCTCTGCCCTGTCTTATGGGGGTTCAGGGGTGGATTCTACAGGCAAAGGAGGACAGGGCCTAACCAGAACTAGAAGTACTAGAAGGAAATCTGCTCTCAGGAGGAGAGGATCACAAAGGAGACATTTTAGATCCAATAAAAAGAGGAATCAGGAAATAGAGATAAGAAAAATTTAGGAGGGAAATCAAAGAGGGAGATCAAGCAGGAATAATGCATGACTTATATAAATATATAAGTATTTATATATACTGGGCATTGAAACCGTGGGCTCACAGTAGCGTGCTAGGCAGCTGCTCTACCAGTGAGCTCTGACCGCGACATGTATTTAAATGTATACTTAAAATTGGCGAGTGACTAGAAAATGTGGTTAATTTGAAATACAGCATGTATTTTTAATTCAGTAGTGATTGGATTACCTTATATTTCAAATTAAAGAGTAGTTGTTGAGGACTAACAAACTATTTGAATGACATCTTTTCTCTAGCAGCTAATTTGTGTGGCCTTAATGGATGTACATTGCAGATGGCATGTGTGCTTAGGCTAGGAAGAAAAGGAGCCTATAGCCCACACAACTGCAGCTTTTAATGTAAAATGGCACTCTGCATAATTCTTAGGTACCTTGTCAGCTCGTATTAAATGTGTTTATACTGCAGTAGAGTTAGTAGCATGCTTCTGAATGGCCACTTACCCTGTTAGTTAAGGCGAATGATGAATAATAGCAGACATATAGCCAAAGGCTTATCTGTTTTAGTATCTGTGTAGTGTATGGAGTGTTCGACCATAAATAAAGAGACAAAAAAGAAAAAACCCACAAAGTAAACATATATGTAGCTTTTATATTTCTCCTTTACTCTCTTATTTTCTTTTTTCTTAGTTACTTATATTTAGTCTAAGTTCTGTTTGGAGATGTTTGCTTTCCTAGAGGTACTAGTATTTAAGTTCAAGTAGTTTGCCTGAGGGCCTTTTCTAGAATAGTTTGCCACCGTTAGGCTATTGGGCCCATGAGGTAGAATACTGAGTTTCTTCCTACCAAACTCCAATGTTTGGTTTTAGAGGCACTGTGCCAGTGGCACCTCTTGGCTCATCTTGACGAGGGAGCCTCAGCTTCCTTTTATAGGTACAGATGTCCATGTGACTGACAGTGGAAATATGATAATATTAGTAACCTGCGTTTCTCATATCATGTATGTGCCAGGCAGCATGTGTGGACATAGACTTCAGAGATTGCTCGCCACAGTCCAGGGTGTGTGCTATGGTGATTTAACTGATGGAGGTCCAAAGAGAACAAGCTCTTTGGCGACACTAAGAAAGAGTTCAATCTCTTAATATTACTTTGATAGAAGAAGTCGTAATTCCGTGACCCTGGTTTGAAGTGCGCTTCAGGAACTTGGGTTACGTTAGCTGAACTGAGCGAGTCATTGGGCCAGTGTATCTTGTCAGGCATGTAGACAGAGCAAGTGCTGCTTCGCAGTTCTTCCCCTGAAGCTTGTTGGCTCTTCACTAGCAGACAGTGCCTGGCTTCCCGTCAACATGCTTGGAGCGCAACTGAGTTCTCACAGATAAGAAGCTGGGGACAATCTGAAGTTATTCTTCTTAGCCCTGCATCTTGGATGCCATCAGTGGTCTTGGTGAAGCCAGAGGTGGTGGAATTGTTTCTGCAGATCTTGTCGGAATTCATAAATTAAGCCAATAACCAGCAGTCCGGGATTGCGTAAGCTCCATCTGAACATTTCTCAGAACATAATTATTGAACCTATAATGTCGAGGGTCTACTGTTCTGTAAGACTTGCCATTAAGATGTCCACCCCTCAGGCTTTTTGAGGATTCAGACAAATACATGGGCAGTTTGAAATGAAGCTCCGGGAGCTCTATGAGATGTGCACACTCAGAATAGTGTGGCAGCCTTTGTGTGTGAAAGTGTGTGTGTGTACATGTGCAGGCAGATGTGTACAGATGTGCAGAATAGAGGTCAGTGTTGGTCTCTTCTTCAGCCACCTCTCTGACTTACCTCTTTCTTCCTTTTATTTTTAAAAGACAGAGTCTCTTCTTGAGGCTGGGGCTCACTGTTTGGCTAGAAAGCTGCTCAGCCCTTTCCAGGGCTCGTCACATCTTTGCTTCCCCAGCTCTGCAGTTAGAGACATGGCTCACTACTCCTGGTGTTTACCAGGGTGCTGGGGAATCCGAACTTAAGTCTCCACACTAGCACAGCAATCACTTTAAAAACGGAGCCATCTCTCTAACCCCATCTGTCAGTGGTGAGAGGATTCCCTGCCCTGGTGAGAGGTGGATCTAGGGGAAAGTAGGATATCTAAGCACACACATTTGAGAGGCCTTGCAGTGTCCTCAGTTGTACGCACGAGAGAGTGATTATGTTCATGCATGAGCCAGCAGGGCATGTGTGTGTGCACATGAGAAACTTCCTAGCGTTTGTTTTGGGTAGGGAGAAGCAGTACAATCCAAGCCTGGAGGGGTGCAGATTTCTACCTGTCTCCACGTGGCTTGGAGGTGTAGAGGTTTTATCAGAACTGACACTGGAGAGGAGCCAACAGCACACACAAGATGAAGAGTCTGGAGTGATGCGCCAAGAGGTGTAGCTGTGTCTGAGCTGAGGAACTGATGCCAGAAGAGCTGATGGTCAAGTTCTTGTCCAGACTCGGGAAGAGCCACTGTTTCAGTGTGAGGCCAAAGGCAAGGAAAAGAAACTAGTGTTCCAGTTAGTTCAAAGGCAACAGACAGGAAAGGATTGCCCCTCATATGGGGGAAGGGTCAGGCTTTTGCTCAGACCCTCAGAAGATTGGAAGTCTTTCCTTACCAAGGAGGGCACTCCCCTTCCCCAGCCTGCTGATGTGCATGTTAATCTCATCCAGAAACACCCCAACATGAGCCGAGAATAATGTCTTACCAAACGTTTGAGCACCTTGTAGTCTAGGTAGATTGGCACAAGATTACCCACAGGCAGAGCCTTATTGCATTGTGGCACTGCACAGTTTACACTGCAATAAGAAAGAGTCTTTCCTGAGTCCTGAGAGTACTGACTCTCGGAACTGTATCCAGAGAGTTTAAGCTCTTGAGGATTGTTACAAGGAAAGACTGGTAGGAAGTATGGATTTGAATGTTACTTCTGTTGGTTAAAGAGTACCAATAATATTCTACTAGCCTAAAACCGCAGATAACAATGGCTTCAGCATCCTATGGTGTGAGTTCCAAATGATACCATGAGGTCACTGGCATGCCACAGTGAACTTAGATAGTCCTAGGGAACTTTAAATTTTGAAGGAATCAGAGAAGCACAGAGCATTCTTTGCTTACCAGGTTTAAATGTCTCTCGCTAGCAGAGATGATCACTTTCCATGGTAAATTTCATTCTGTTCCTTTTGGTGGTCTTTGCAAAGCTACTATTTCAGCAAACACTTTTTATTCCGGTTCCTGAAAGCATTATTCACTATAGAAGGTAGATATACAAGTGTCTATCACAAGATGAATTCTTACACGTATGGTGAAGGTACATGGAGAGGCAACTTGAAAAGGAAGGAAATTCCAACATATCTACTAACATGTAAGCATTGAGTAAACTGTGCTAAGTGAACTATATCGGCTTCAAAGAATATGCATTATGTGAGTCCTGTTGTGTAAGTTCTTGGAATCTTCAAGTTTGTGGGGCAGTGAAGGTTGCTAAGAACATGGGCAACAGGAACGAGAAGCTGGTACTCAGTGGGTACAGACATTTGGTTAGAGGTGAGAAAGTTTTGGCATTTGGTGGCTATTTTTTCTTTCATTTAAAAAAGTATTTAATTATTTAACATGTTGGGGTTTTCTTCGAGAGAGTCTCAAATGACTGACCTGGGACTCACTTTATAGCCCAGGATAGCCTTGAACTTGGGATGGTTACCCCTGTCTCTGCCTTCTGAATGCCAAGACTACAGGCATCAGTCACCACCCTAGGCTGTTTTACTACAACTTCAGGAAATGAGTAGATGTGAGCACTCAGTGAGCATGGAAGCATCTGCCTTGTCCTAAGGTTTGAGAACTGGTAGAGGGGGTACATCCCTCCTAAAATGGTACTTATTTAAGAGTCAAACAGGTATGCCATTTTTCTTTTAATTTATGAATATTACATTTTAAAGCAGCTAATCAGTTGCTAGTATATAAATGCTGTTAAGTGTTTACACCTAACTCCTTAATAAACGTGGCTGTTAGGTGTTTCTGTGGGCCCGAGGCCACCGTAAAAACATAAGAGACGCTCAGCTGGCCACATCTTCAAGTGCCCAGGGCCTGTCATGAGGTTGTTTTTCTTATGGCTGGGTCAGCGTTGGCTGTGCTGTACAGTCTGCACTGTCAGGCCTGAGACTGTGGAGTGTTCCTCTTGGCTGCACAGTAGCTGCCTCAGTCCAGCTCTGACTAGAGTTTGCCTTCTGAGAAGAGGGGGAAGGAAGGATAAAAGACAGAAAGAAAAAAAAGACTATTTCCCTCATATTTCCTTTTTAAACAGTTTCTTGGGAGCCCCATCCGGTCATCCCTACTTAAACTAACTAGTCTTTTAATAAGCTACTTCTTAATGATCAAAATTCATTATTTGGTCTCAGTGTTTTTGGTCTTTGTGTGTGTGTGTGTGTGTGTGGTGTTGTTTGCTTTCTTTCTCTGTCTTTTTTCCTTTTTTGCTTTACATTATTTTGTACTGAGTTCTATTATAATTAAA